TATTTTGGGATCTATACATTTCCACACATCCAGTTTAACAGTTTTTTGTAGATAAGTACTAACAGGCAAGCCAAGCCTTCAGCCACTGTGACAGGATTAGGATTTTGGAATGAATGGAAAGATGTAAACTTCCCCTTGGCCCCTTGTTCAACATATATCAGGAACTTTACGAATGGAAGTTCACCACAATACATTTATTGTGATAGGGGTCATATATTGTCCCATCCCTAGTTATAACTATTTTAGTTAGATAGAGCAGCAAAGCACAGCAGTGATGCAGTGAAAGTGAAACCCTACCTTCTATTGTTCTGTGCACATTACAATGCATATTTTATCCCATGAAATCAGTAAACCTGTCTGCTTAGATATTGGCTATTACAGTGTAATGACATTGAGATTATATTATGTACATTATATAGTCTGTTAATGCTGCGTACCGGGAGTCGCCTAAAGGCATAATGTGATGTGTTCCATGTTCTAGCGCCTCCAAACATCACCTCTCTGACGTTACTGATGAGTAAAACACCTTGATGCCAGTACACAGTGTGAGGATTTTTAACAGCGAGTATTCCAGAAGTCTAGAACTCTTTCACTGCACTAATGATGATCTCTGCAATACTGATGGTGACAACTCTAGAGAATATACAGAATTCACCATAATCTGAAATAAAATTAAAATCAGGAGAGCATGAGACAGCTATCATCTTGCTCCTCCTCCTCCTCCTTGCAGCCGCCTCTTGCCTCTCCCATCATCCCACCACATCATTATCAGTCTTTGCATCTATCTCCAAAGCCCCTGCAAACCCTGCGCAGACAATGGGCTCCTCTCTTCGCTGTTGAAGCCTTTCATGAGCCTGCTATGTAAATCAGAGTCAGGCCTTTTTTTTTTGCCGGGCTGATTTCACAGGGATGGCGCAGAGCTGCTCGCTGGCTAGCTAGTCAGAGGGCATTTGTTCCAGCGAGGTTTCATGTAAAATGCAACAAGGCATGAGGTACAAAGACAGAGGAGTCAGACCTGTGGTGCGTGTTCGCCAGACAAGCCCCGGCAACAAGAGAAGAGAGTGCTGTGAAAAATTTAACCACCCGCTGCTCCACAGAGAAGGACTGGTGGAGACAGAGCAAATTAGCCAACCACCTTCCCAGTGGGAAAGATGGGAGCGTGGCCTTGATTGAACTTGAGTGGTCTTTGTGTTAGATGAATTATGGAGGCAGAGTAGTTTTTACTTTGCAAGTATCATGCGGTGGGGTTTTATCAAAGTTTTATTTGTGTACGGCGAAGCTCTCAGAATTCACTCTGAAGCAGTTCTGCTGTTGCAAGGCAAGCAAGGCCCTCTGGGGGAGGACAAGACAGAACATTGCTTTAGGATAAATGTTTTGATCATGACAGGGTTGCACTTCAGGGCTGTGTGCAGGAGACAACTGTTTTTGACTAAGGGCATACAGTGCTAACTGAAAACAATGTCATTTTTTCTAATTTGTTATGTGAGGGGGGGAAAAAATCCCAGAAGTCCTAATTTATTGTGTGAGTATGTTGTATGTGAGGCACTAAATGATGCAACAGACTGAAGCTTTTTGATGAGGAGCACAATCAAAGCTGGAGTACCCTGCAGTTACAGTTTGATAAATGTTATACATCAGATGTTTATCCCTCTTACAGTACACTTGAGTTTTCTTTGCATCTTTTTGTAACATCAAATCCATGTTATGGCCTCAGCTGATGACCTTGTGAATAAAAATAACACCTTTCACTTTGCATCATATGTTGTGCAGATTCACTTCCACCAAAACCTTGTTCATATTGTGGACCTCGTCCTCATTTTGCCTCCTGCAATTGATGGTCACCAGTCCAGATGAGCGGATTGATGTCCAATATATAGCTGGTCAGACTGTCAGCTATGATTTGAAGTGAGAATGTATAGCATCTGTGTCTCTTATTGGCTGTTGTTTCTGATAAACAGAACGTTTTTATAAAACTGAAGCCACATTGAAACTGGACCAGAGTTAACTTAAAGCACGATTACATTTATATTACAATTTGGTTGTATTTTTGTATCATTTATATGAGCCACGGTAACATTATACATAGACAAACATCATCTGCTGTATACTGTTGATACTTATCTTAAATTTACTGACTAGCTAGTTTTAGTCCAAAACCTTTTTCTGGCATTTTCACACAAGTGATAATAAGTCTGATTAAATGTATAATATGTCATTTATGAAAGTAGGGCGTGAAAACAATAACAAAAGAAAAAGTTTGATGACCCTGTGAAGTAGCGTGGGCTTATGGGAGTTATTGTCAGCTTCTCCCGGTTAGGATTCCTTCAGTGTTCATGGTTCAGGAGCTTTCTACCGGGAGCCCAATTATCCACAGAGGTCTCCTCCTCTCCAAAACGGATCCGCTGATTAAAACCACTAAACACACTGAATAAAGCAGTTCCACCTTAAAAATCACGGCTTCTCCCACGCTGTTGGACAGACAAAGGACGTCCCGGAGGGGCTGCGAGCCGAGCTGCTGCTAACGTTAGCTCAGCTTGTTTCTCTGATAACTTAAGATCCAGACGTCCGATGACTAAAATCCTTCATCCGGTTCAAATCTAGAGTTAAAAAGCACCAAGATCTAAACAGTGGATGGTAACAATGTGGCTTCAGACTGGATAAACAGTCAATGTATGACAGCTTCTGACAGACAACCACAACGCTGACACAGGCACAACGCCTCGACAGCAGAAAACGCACCTGAATACAATGACAGATTTCCTGAGTTTGAACATTGTTGGAAACATTTGGGATAATAAAGACACAACTCAACTACAAACAAACATTGAGCTAGAGTTTAAAACACATTAATGTGGAAATGTTGCAGATTAGAGGTTTTAATATATGAGGACAGCAAGTCTTGTTTAGCCCAGCTGAGGGCGCTGCACCAAAACAAAACTGTTAACTATTAACTACTAATGGGTTTACACAAATATGTGGCAATAGTTTGCAGGAGCAGAGTTTAGTTCAATCCACTTATCACATACTTTACATACATGTGTGCAGTTCAAAACTTTTTTGTAACATCATACTCAAGGAAGTAATTGAAATTTAAGAACATTGTGACTTTGTTAGCCAATAGTCCGGCGAGGCAGGAAAACCTTCAATCAGGTGATCAGACAGGTTGTAAACAAGTCAACAGATTATAAACTAAACCACTGAAGGGAAAATTAAAACTGAGAGCACCTCAAGTATCAGGAATAATCTGTCATTACACAAGACAACTATCAATGATAAATGAGGTAAGTTGAAGCAGGAAGTGGGTCTGTAAACTGTGATTGATATGACCAATGCACAGTTTAAGTTATAATTCACTGTTCGCCATAGTTTCCTCTACTGAATAAGCTGACTTCTATTTAGCAGTGGATCTGTGTTCCCAGATCACAGCAAGTCACTTTATCAGTTATTATTACAGATAACGATGGCCAAGTTGTAATGAAGCAGAATTATGCTTTAGTCTCTTCTTCTTCTAAATAAGGGTAGTACCAGCCATTAACAAGGAAAGGGGGGTTGTCTATTTTGTTTTGCCAGGTATGTAGTACATTTGTAAACCTGAGGATTTAACAAACTGAGTGTATTTTACACAATTGCCAGCCCTCTCTGTTCATTCCATTTCAATAGTGGATAAATACAAGTTCTTGATGTTTAACTCTTGCCAGAAATGACTTTACTGCCATTTCCCATTACCTTAATGTTGCATCCTTTTTGCCTTAGACATTCTCCCTATAATGGCACCATAGCCCAGAGTAAGCTAAGATAAGGCCTTAGTTAACCGTGCTAATTTACCATGCTAATTCCACACCACTCCTGAGTATGGTGAGGAAATTAGCAAAGCAAATTTACAGTTCAAATATTATGCCCCATCAGTGAGTAAAGCTGTTCTGGAGTTTTCAGACACATCGATCACGACAGGAATATTATTCTGCTGTAATAGTTTGCAGATAATTGCAGCTGCAAATTGAATTGAATTGGTTAAACTGAATGAATCTGAAGTCCTTACAAAGCCTCAGATGTATGGTAAGTGAAGTGAACATGCTGAATCAAAGCTTTCCAGTTCCAGTGCTGCAAACTGGCCTGACTGGATGAAGTCATAGTGTGTGTCCCAGAGAATACAGTGAATTGAATTTTGGACTGATGAAGCCGTCAAGTCCACATTTCAACACAGAATGCTGATGACAGAAGTTATAGTAGTAGTAGTAGTTATAGTACAGCATACTCAAAACAACAATCCCATGTACACCAGTCAGCCATGACATTATGACCACCTGGGCACCCTGACTGCTCTGCGGTTACCAAGTGTGAACCTATCGTGACATCACCCATTGGTTTGGGGGTACTGTTTTTAAGCCTTGAATTCTGCGTTTTGGCCGCAGACATGACAGTAAAATGGAGCCAGCGCGAGCCAGCTGATGTGCGAGTTTATCTACACTCACTGGTTGCACAGTTATGACTCGTAACAGGGGGAAAAAAAATTCACTTGCTGCCTAATATATCCCACCTACTGACAGGTGCCATGATAACCAGATAATCAGTGTTATTCACTTCACCTGTCAGTGGTCATAATGTTATGGCTAATTGGTGTATCTTCTGGCTACCAGTGGCAGAACTAGAATTGGAAGATACCTTTTATGCTGTGGATATGTCAATACTAGTTTGATACCCATGTGACATTATTTGTACAAGTTTGGACTTTCAATATTATTCCTGTGACAAATGTTATGCTCTGTCTGAAATGTCAAAGCGGAGGGAGATCCCAGCCCAGTATGATGGTCCTGGACCGGAGCTGATCATACAGTCGGGACTAGACAACCAAAACAAGGAGCTAAAAGAGGCAAAATACTTTGGTAATAACATATGCTTAAGGCATCTTCAGAAATTCTGAAAAATCTGAACATCCTGGCTGTCTTATAAGTCAACAGTTGTCAATCCATGTATGGCTGGAAACTGAGACTGCCACTCACCATGATGGACCACACCCTTCAGGCCATGGATTATGGGGTCGACAGCAGGATTGTCCTTCCCTCCCACCTGCGGAACACAAAAATATACAGAGATCATCAGATAGCCTTATTGTTCATAGCAAACATCACTGTATACCTTAAAGGTAGTATATATGAGATTTACAACATTATTACAGCCTCTCTGTGGTTTGTTTCTATAGCTGGTCTGCTCTGAAGCTGAGTAAAGCGACTGAAACTGCTGTTTTTATTGTCTATGTCGGTGAATGAAGGAGCCTGACTGTGAACAGTGGATGGGAATGGTTAACATCTAAATGGACAACAAAGTTCTGTCTCTTGGAAATTGAATCTCTTAGAATGTCATTGAATGTGGAGTCCACCAGGGGTTAATACTTGGTCCATTGCTCTTCAGTTTGTACATACTGCCTCTAAATAATCTGTGTGTTACCATCATTATGCTATTAATACACTACTGCTAATACTTCCACTGTGACAACTGCTACAACCAGTGCTTGAAATGGGCCAGAACCAGCGCTTCTTTTGTCCACATGATTACCCTTATTTCTCTGTACTGCCACCTCTGGTGAACATGACGTACCAACCACTGAGGTCACCAATGTCTGGACCTTTTTTTGAGGGGTTAACAATTAAAGTTGTGAAACTGAAAAAAAATATATGTAACTATTGCTTTGATGCATGCTCAAAACCCACCCCCATCAAGTTCCGTTTTTGGACCACTTATTTCTAAACCCCTGCCTACAGCAACGCTGGTGAGATACTCACTAAGCACCAGTGTCTCAGTGTAACATTGCTAGCTTGACACTAAGAAAACAGCACTGAAAAGTGAAAGTGAAAATAATTAGGCTCCAATGTTTTAGTACAATTCAGGCACTGGCTACAACTATTGCTATTACTTGTGAAGCACCTTGTCACTCCAGTTTTGACAGGCACTATAGAAATAACTATTTATAGCTAATACTACCACTATTCCAGCTGCTACAAGTGCTGCAACCAGTCAACATTTACAACTTATAATCGTCATCATTGTTATAAAAAACATAATTATACACATTTCTAATGATAAAGAAAACTAAGCTAGATCTAAAAAAGATGAAGAAAACATCAGTGCAGTGTGTTGTGTTTTAGAGCGAGAAACAGCTTCATTGTGTTTAATCCAAACTAACCCAAACTACCACAAAGCCACTGCCAGCATCCATATCCAACATGTTGCATGAACAGTTGAAAGACTGCCAAGACTGCTCCCTCTCTCCCCTAGACTCTCCACAACCTCTTCTCTCCTGGATCTGGCAACACACACTTGTTGACCTAGGGGTTTAACAAACACACACACACGCATACGCATGTTGTCCATTTGGATTTAGAAAAAAAACACACTTGTTGGCTAGTTGGATTTAATTGTCAAGTTTGGTGTGAAGGATTACCAGAATTTGTGCATACACTGCCTGCCTGCTTGGACCACAGCAAAAGCACACAGAACAAAACACATTCTGTTCAGTTTCTACGCTTTTGTAAAGCACATTAACAAATCCTATTCCAAAACAACCCATTTTCATGGATATGTTGAACAATTTGTTATAATTCCCTTAATCAGTCGGAAAAACAAATATATTTTAATTATTTTTATTCACATGGCTGCGGTGACTGATCATGCAACACACAAATGTTACCGTGTGCCTTGATGCATGAAAAGCTGATTCTGGAGGCAGCTGCATCCTCTACAGGTGTCAGGGACTGGCTGCTAGACAGAGGCCTCTCTCCCAAATCTAAACTGTCCCTGCTGCTCACTACCAACTTCTGTTTGGCTGTTTGCCTAGGACTGCTTCCTTTACTAGCTAACAGTTCTTCTTGGACAACAGAAACAAATGTTGACCAAATGTAACCAAACATATCATCTCCTTTAGGAACAGGTATAAAACAATCTCCCATTGCTGGCAGTGGCTGGTAACTTCAAAATAATACTCTGGTAGGGAAAGTGTTAACTGTACTAACATGATGTAATCAGGCCCACTGGAGAAGCTTGCTATTACTCGGTGCTAGCTCAGCTACCCCCAATGGTGACTGTAATTTTGCATGTCCTAGCTGGACTTCGAGAGTTTTGTTAAAGGACCAGTGTGTAGGATTTAGATGCATCTAGCAGGGTTGTTGCAGATTACAACTCCCTCACCTCAACCTCCCCTTCCATGTACAAAAGAAAAACTACAGTGGCTGTGATACACAAACAATGTGAATGATCTAGAAAAATGGCAGTTCAAGTGGCATCCATGGAAGGTGACTCACAGCGTCTGAAGGCTCATTTTAGGATAACCAAAGCAACAATTTTCAGGTGATTAAACGTTAAAGAAAACATAGTTATGCATAGTGTATTCCATTTCTGCCAAAAGATAAATGTTACACACTCGACCTTTAACTGATGCTGCTGTATTGGCTTTTCTTATTTTTCCTTTGCAGTTGAAGGGCTACTCTCCACCTCCAAAGGCAGTCGTGCCAATCATATCCTGAATGTAGTGTTCTGTTTATAGTTGCATTAACATGTGTTTTTCTTTATCCAGTTAAAATATGCAGATACATGTCATACTAGATGATACATAATGTCAGGTGGAAATGCTGTCTGAAGCTGTCACATGGAAGAGTGGTGTGACGCCTTGAGTGAAAGAAGTACAAAGTATTTAAACTTTTATGCACGGTTAAAAAGCACCAGGTAACTGAGTGACAAATGAGGAGTGCATGCTAGGTGATGGTGTTTCACTGGAAAATAATTATCTGTTATTCTCTGCGTGATCACCCCCTTATGGACAACATGAGTGTGTACAGCTAACAAAAAAAGCTTAACACTAAACGAGGAAAGAAACTTAAGGAAGTAGAAAAGTTTATTTGTGGCAATGTTAGACACAGTTTTTAACTTACCCCTACCCACACACAAACACATTGTATAACCATTTCAAATAGCAGAAGAAGTTAATAATGTTCGTACGAGGCGAGACGGAAAGTGGGTGCGAAAAAAAGTGTGTGTAAAGGAAAGGAGATTAAGAGAAATAAAGGCGGCCACGGAGACACAGAGAGAAAATGACAGACAGAGAGACAGTGAGGAGGAGTGAAAGAAAGGAGGACAGAGGGAATTAGCGTTTCATTATTAATGTTTGTCTCTGAAAGCCCACAGGCTCGTCCCCCGAGATCCTCAGCCACCGGGCCTCACATCACAATGTCCCACTCTCTCTCTTTCTATCTACCCCTTTCTCCCTCTTCAAATCCTGCATCTCTCGCTTGTTCTCTTTATTCCTCCCCATAGCTCCATCTCCCTCTTTCTCTCCAGGGACAGGCCACTGCAGTGACAAATCAGAAAAAAAGAAACTGTGGTACGATGTGACATGTCCTCATATTTCTCTCCTCCGCCACTTTTTCCTCTCTCTCTCTCTCTCTCTCTCTCTCTCTCTCTCTCTCTCTCTCATCCCGTGTCCCTTCCTCCCACTGTCATCCATCCAAAATGCCTCACTATGTATCCTCTTTCTTTTGACTTCCTTCACCTCCTTCTGTGTCTTACAGAGGCTCTTCTCTCCTTTGGCAGCACTAACTGCTGATGAATCAATGGCATAATGGATGTAACAGTTGGACTTCTTTCAAAGAAGACACACTTGAGTGCAGAATTACTAATTGCATTGGTGACCAATTCGTCAGCAGGTGGTGGAAGATGGGGAGAAAGGCAGACAAGAAGGTCTGGCATTATTTAAATGTTTTTTACCTGTCAATTTTAAAATTAGACAAAGAGATTGTGGGGCTTTTGTGTAACACTATAGTGGGTCAACTAAAGGAGACAATGCTAGGTCCTGCTTAACAAAGACTGACATTTTTGCCTGAATACTAAATAAATACTGAAAGCTGGAAAATACATTACAATCATATATAGAATAACATTTCTATCAGTGTTCCTGTATTCTTTTTGGACTATTGACTATGCTTCTAACTACCTCACCGTTTACAAATCACCCCATCAGCCAACACCACGAAGCAACAATCATCAGACCCACTATTAATATAGATATTTGGATGCCCCTGCATTGCATCGCTCTTGGCTAGTAGAAAGCAATTGTTTGCTTTGTGCCGTTATATCATTATTGTCTGCACCATTTTGCTACGTTAGCCTGCTAAAACCGCAATATCACAATATATTTAACAAACTTTGCTTTGACATTGGACTATGTGTTGTGGTGGGTGTGTGGGATTGTTTGTAGAACTCCATTCATAAACTAAGCCAGTGTTGCACACTGTTTACACTGTAGACAAGTGGAGAGAGAAGGCACTCAGGAGCTGGAACTTGACTATAGAAAACATAAAAATCAAAGCCTTTGGATTTGCGGAAAGTCTGACCCGCAACCCCACATATAATGCATAAAAATCACAGACAACAAAAAAAGCCAAGGAAGGTCTCTATCATCTATCTATAAAGCAAGGAATCTGTGTGTGTGTGTGTGTGTGTGTGTGTGTGTGTGTGTGTGTGTGTGTGTGTGGGCTCAAATATCTCTGCAGATCAGGATCAGACTGACCTGAGAGTTTCAACATGGCTGCTGTGTGGTTTAAGGGTGTGCAACGTCGGCTTTGTTTGGACTACAAAGATACAGTTAATAAATTATTTCATAAATTATTTAGAATTCTGCTAGCATTACCATAGCCACCATAGTCACGTGCGCACCAGAGCCAATCACTGCAGAGCCCTAATGTGTAGTGATTGAGATCCTGACCCACCAAACATCCTGGAAAGTGACGAAGTTTTTCACTCTAAATGACATAATTCTACATAATCACCAGCAGTGAACTGGACGCTGTCTGACTCCCTCACTCGCAAGACGGAGAATGTTTTTCGGTGGAAAGTAAACTGATGTCTCGGTCCGGAGGGCTGGCGGTCGCAGTGATTTTTGATCGCATACACTCCGTTAGTTTTTCGCCGGTGACAGACGCTGTTTTTCGGGCAGAAATGTAACGGAAGAGTCGGTAGGACAGGTGGGAGGACAGACAGGAGGACAGACGCTTCTCCACGTACAGCTGTTTTTTTTTTTT